AGATTCATTTTTCTCTTTTGACTATCACCTTTACCAGTGCACTAAATTACTGAAAGCCATCAGAATATGCCCCTGTGTGATCAAAAATAATTTATATAGACTTCTGACTAAAAGCAGTATTTGCATCTGTTGGGACGTCCACAATAATTAAGGAACTCATGTTAGTATGAAGCTAACAAGTTCTTTATAATAATGAAATCAACTTGGCAGAAATAGAAGAACCTGGTAAGCAGAGAGCGTCTTTTTTTTAATTCAGGTTTGAAAATTAATGTCTGAGCTTCAGAGGTGTTCAGTACATGGTAGAGGAAAGATTATAAGAGAATCAATAAGAAGTAATGTGGAAGAGATTGAATTCTTGATGATGAGACCAACTTATTCAAAGCTAGCAATGACTTGAAACATTTTTTTCTATTACCTGTACCTAAAAATTGTTTAACTCTTAGAGAGTTCATGTGAATTGTTTTGTTCCTGCCAGTAGAGGATCTGTTATATGGTAGACACAAGTGGAAGAGATAATCCAACAGCTGTTGACAAATGTTAATGTAAATGTTATTATAGTTGTTTTCTTGATATTGACATCAGAGATGACATGGGGACACCACCACCAGCGCAGCTCTGCTGTCTCAATCCTATTCACAGGAGAGCTTACCTCACTGTTTTATAAGGCATAGCTGGCATAAAAGTTATGGGTAAATAAAAAAACCAGCAGGATAATGATGACACAGTCATTCCCACTGAAGAATCTCTTCCTTCAGTGAACTATATTTATATGTAAAGGAAGTACAGTGCTAATTCTACCCCTGAAATGTGGACTGGGAAATATTTCCAACAAATATATTATTATTCTCCATTCAGCATACCACTGAGAATGCCTGAGGACACTGTGCTTTGTACCAGCATCCCTGTGGGAATTTGCCTTATTATTTCCAACAGCAGAAAAAGCCAAGGTTCTTGTTCAGTTATACTCATGGATCACAACTTTACAGCTGATAACAAAAATTCACAATACATTGTAAACTGTACCGCTCTGAGTACTGCTCATACCTGGCTTTCTCAGCCTCTGTTACCTTACTAGGGATGGTACTTGGACTTGGTATTTTGTAAAGTTGCACAGGCACACAAATTTACAGCCAACTGATTTTGCAGTGTATTTTTTTTAATTCTAGCACAAAAGTTGGCATATCTTGATCCTCTACATTTCCTTGTGCTCGAAATAGCAGTGTGGATTAATAACAGATTTCCTCAAAGTCTTCTGTCAGAGCTATCTGTTTGTTGGCTTCACCCTCAGCACTATGCCTCTGCTTTCCTTCCCCGCCTTGCTCTTAACCACTGACTCCAGCCATCTCATTCCATACTCACTATGTTACTGTTAGGCCCTTGCCTCCAAATTGTATCCCAAACTTAGCCAAATATGTGACTTCCAACTCACTCATGTCTGAAGTGTCCCCATAATACATCAAGGCACTGAAAGCAATATACTGAGACAGTACCTTTGAAAAACCCTGGGACTCTTTTTCTTTTTCTTTTATTTTTGTCTACCTAGACTTCAGTAAAGCCTTTGACTCCGTTCCCCACATCATTCTCCTGGAGAAACTGACTGCTTATGGCTTGGGTGGGCTTACTGCTCACTGCATAAATATCCTGCTAGAAGGCCAGGACCAAAGAGTTGGTAGTGAATGGATTAAATCCAGATGGTGCACGGTCACAACTGGGGTTCTCCAGGGCTCACTACTGAGGCCAGTTCTGTTCAGTGTCTTGGATAGTCGATTTTTCTTCTTTTATAATAGGAAAAGAATAAGTGCTTTCTACTTTTCAATATTTTTAAATACAAGATGTAAATTTCATAACAAATCTCAAGTTCTAAACAATAGAAACCAAGAATGTTTGACATGCAACAAATCTCAAGAAATTCTGAAATTCTCACCACTAAAAAAAAAAAAGGAAGAAGAAATTTAAGAAGGGATCAAGCTGCAAGTTTCTCTTATAGTCTTGGTCATTCCAATTTTGCACCTACCATTTTGCAACTCTGTTTTTCTGACTTTATATTCTTTTTGCAGAGGTGAGGGATCTCAACATTTTGAGTGGAGCTCCATGGAACACTTTTTCTGATAAATTATGATCACAAAGCAGCACAAAGCCTCAAAGTTATCTGATGTAAAAATAAGGATATTACCTTCTGTGGGATGTAAAAAATGCACTAGATTCCAAGAACAGAACTTACAAACCACTTTAATAAGGTACTTAAAATGATTCAGATATTACATGATAGGGTAATACAGGCCTGCGTTTTGGTAGGTGTGAAAGAGCCTCAGGTACCCAAAGACAGTTTTTCATCAATTTCTCATGATAATCTCAGTACTGATATGAGAAAATGTAAGCAAGCAACAAGCCAATTGTCTCTATGACAAAACTTGTCATCCAGCCTTATTGTATTTTTCCACCAAAACTTCCTCTTTAATTCTTATAAAAGAAAGTTATTTGCAATCAGGCCAAGTTCCTGAACCATTATACAGCAATTTAATTTAACTTATTAAAGATAAAGCAGTGAGAAAAATATCATGGTTTCAGGTTTAACAGTAAACTGATACTGTTTAAGATGACTAATAAACAGTGCAGCAAACACAAGAATGTTGGTAGTATGGAAAGCATTTTAAAACGTATGCATGTCTATATAGGACTAAGACTACTAGAGCCTACATTTATACTCAGGTTCCTACGTTTATATACAAGTTTCTGACCTGAGCCTGTTAAATTATGGAGTTCTTCTTCCTGACTATCCATACAAATGGACTAGTAGGGCTCAAAAAGTATAAAAAAAATACACAACTTCACATTTTAAAGATATTTTTCTGTAATAAACTTAAAAAGAATATACTTAGTTGGATAGTGCATATTTTTAAAAAATATATTAAAGTCTGCTTTTCAGTCTTTAAATATACATGACAAAAAGCAGATCTATAAATAACAAATGACCAAACATTGGAGTTTTCTAGATAACTTGAAATGCTGTATCTCCATGAGATTTGAAAGGATGTGTTAATGTTTAGTTCCTCAATTAAATAATGAGAGGAACAACCATACATAAATCAAAAGCAATCAATTTAATAGTCAGATTTTGAAGACTCAATTTAACTTTTTGAAAGCTAACCAATTCATACATATATTTTTCAGTTTAAACATCACTTTCACGGGAAATAGAAGTGGCACTGACAAATGTTCTTTTGATAAATGAGTTTTAGTACTAATGTAATGCAAATTAGTTTTGCCTTCAGCAATGATGGAGATACCAAAGCTTCCATTTAAAGAAAGAAGACTTACGCAGGTATTTACATGAATTTCATTAGCATTCCATTATGTGTATGTGACAACAGTATTAGTATTATTTTGAGAACTGAATACTGTGGCTGTATCAATTTTCAGCATGTTGATCTGTTCTGTCACATAAATTAACACTGATACTATCAGGAAGACAGATGAGGATCCCTCATCAACAGGAAATTATAGCACAGAGAGCATGAACAACAGCAATTTTAATATTCATGATGGAATAATTTTTTTCTTTTCTGCTTGAGAAGGCTTGGGTAGCAGCATGGGACTCCACTGTTTCCAGCATAGCAGTTAGAGTTGCTACTGTCAAATGCACAACAGCTCACCACTTTGCATCCAAGAAAGCCTGGGCAAACCTGCTGCCCAGTGACTTGAGCTCAGAACTGCCAGAGAGAAGCGGTAGGGAGGAGAAAATCCCTTTGCTAGCACATGAAGGAGGAAAACCCTTAATGCAAGATAATACAATACTAAATGAATGAAATATAAGTACTAAAATTGCATATTCCTCTTAATCACATCCTACATAAACCTGTTTACTGTATTAATTTAATTTGTTAAAAATTCTGCATTTGTTACTACTTAAGTGGTGAATCCACAAATAACTACAAATAGGAATTCTAGACTTCACATGCAGTCCTACTGTCCCTTCTGTCCTGGCTTACCCCTGTCCTACCACTACAGCCTCTAAAGAAGAGTCCCTCCCCAACATCCTTGTAGGCCCCCTTCAGATACTGGAAGGCTGCTATGAGGTCTCCACGCAGCCTTCTCTTCTCCAGGCTGAACAGCCCCAACTTTCTCAGCCTGTCTTCACACAGGAGGTGCTCCAGCCCTCTAATCATCCTCGTGGCCTCCTCTGGACTTGCTCCAGCAGCTCCATGTCCTTTTTATGTTGAGGACACCAGAACTGTACACAATACTCTAAGTGAGGTCTCACAAGAGCAGAGTAGAGGGGCAGGATCACCTCCTTTGACCTGCTGGTCATGCTTCTTTTGATGCAGCCCAGGATACGGCTGGTTTCTGGGCTGCAAGTGCACACTGAAGCTGGCTCATGTTAAGCTTCTCATCAGCCAACACTCCCAAGTCCTTATAACAGGAAGGGTTTTCTAAGCAAGATAGTAATTTTCAATAATCCTGATAGAAGACTGTAAAGAGATAACGATACATGCAAACATGAAAGATTTATGATTCCTCTTTCTATATGCCAAAACGAGTGTTTTTGTATTAACTTGTTTAGCCTTCACACCAACTCTTCTTGCTCAGTGTTTACAGACTGTTTGACTCCTACCCACCATCTGGCCCAGTTTTGTGCCAAATACCAGAAATGTTGATGAGAAAAACATGAGTAAAGAAAAGTGAATGCATATGCACACATTTCCGAGATTATTTTCACCCTGTTTACGATAAGGCTACCTACTTACCAGCTTTATTCACTGGGATTTAACTGAGGTACCAAAATACTAATGTCAATTTAGATATCTGATTTCAGGTATCTACCTGCAAGTGTGTACATGTCTGTAAAGTATCTAAACCGTAACTTTATTTTATGTTCTTAGCCTACTGCATCTTTCTAGACCTGAACCAACACAGTAGAAAAAGTGAAACAGAAAAGACAGCTATTCACAGTAAAGAAAACTAGGCTTTCATGTATTAAATGAGGATCTATAATATCTTACCATAACATTCCTTTCATAATGTTCGTGCTCTTTCTCAAAATCTATTACAAAGCCATTTAGAGACCAAATAAATGTCAGGTCTAATGTGGGATCATGGGATGCAATGCATTGCATGGTAGCATTCTCTCCAACGGTGACATCAACATTCAGTGGAGCTAAAGTAATCCTTGTAGCTTCTGTGAAGTTAACAGCAAACATGGAAAATTCCATTAAATAAATGTTTATCCAAATGCAAGCTCAGCTCTATAACTGTTTGATTATGTATACAACTGCTCCGTCAAACTCTAGTTTCCATGTTATTCATGCAGCTACATTTCAAAGAACCAAACTAAAGAGAACAAAGGAAACCTTTTACAACTGAAATGACTAACTTCTATTTAGCTGTCCTTTGAAACTGTCTGTTTCAGTCTCTGAATCACATTACTGACTATTTAAAGCTATTTTTACTCACTGACTATATCTCAGTTAGAAAGAAGACACATGATGAATCGTATGTGACTTGTGTGGCATTTCTTGTTTTAATAATATTTCTTATGTTTTAAAACCTGTCTCATTAATGAATGGAAAGTTCTACTCAGTTGTCAGGCTGAGTCAAATTTCTATTAGAGTACTGCAGGGATTGAGATCTTAATTTATCTACTGAGAAACAATGTAATGGATGTATAACTATGCAAACAGCTACATGTGGAAAGGAAGAGGAAATAATACAACTAAAGAAAGCCGGGCATCTCCCAGCAATGTTATATATTAATACAGGAAAAAAAAAAAAAACCCCAAACAAAAAGGCAGAGGTCTTGTGATACTTCCTAGAGCTCATATGGCAAATTAACAACATTGTTCTGGAAGGGACTCAGTGGATCACTGAGACCTGTTCTTTCCCACCAGTGTGAGTATGGGAATAGAGTACCAAAACCTGGAAGACAGTAGTTGTAAGAAAAAGAGCTATTGCTACTAGCTGAGACCTAGTTTCAAGCATGCTCCAGGGTGCATACTACACCTCACAATACACAGAACAGCAAAAAATCCTCAATAAACCCAACATTACTTGTCAATCTGCCTTTGAGAGAAACCTTCCCCTACTCAACTAATGTAAAACCTGCTTAATACTGAGGCTATGAGGATGGCACAACTACTGACTTTTGCAGAAAGGAGCATCTCATAGCGCACTGGAGCAACCTGTTAATATCTGATCTTTAAAGTCTTAGCTATGGACACATGCTTAGTATACATGCTCCATTCTAGTGTTGTGTCTGTATGTTCAGCACCTGGTTCTACCATTAGTGATTTTCTAAATGTTTGCATAAAGTATTCGACCAGTCCAGTGGCAGTGAACAAACAGCATGTGGGAAAAACCATCAGACTTGCAGTGCCTGTCAGCTTCAGATTTAACTTTCAAAAGTCCTGTAGTTATGCACAATGTCTGAGATGTTTTATAGGCCACGCAATGTTCTTGGGAATACCATCTTCAAAGCATTCTTCATCAACTCTCATCATTGTCCACAATGTGAAAATAACTGAAATATGTCATCTGACCCTTCTGTTTCTGCTGTGATGCAAGGGAGAGGTCTTAGTCTTTTGTTTTTTAATTTTTAGATTAATCTAAATCTAATTCTACTTTTTAGAGCAGAATCCTCCAAAATTTTAAAATTCTGTGTATGTAGTTTATAAGGTTTATAAACATATGGTTTAAGTGTTTCGCTGTGTGAATTTAGTATGCAAATGTTCTTACTGGTTTTAGAAGGTATGATATAGTTATTAAGGGGCTCAATATTTATTTACATACCCTTTCAAAATAATTAAATGTCTGAGGGTAATATTAAGATGTATAAAGCTGAAAAGAATGATAAACTGCAAATATTAAAAAAATCTCATTAAGCAAAATAAAAGTCTTACAACTAATTTTGTACAATAGATTTGATATAAATCAACCAGAAAAATGCTTTCATATGACCTGATGATACAGATTAATTCTTACATAGTACATCTATATTGTGGCATTGAGCTGTCACATCCAGCATGATTTCTGGAATAAACATTAAAAAATGTATTTGATAAATCATTTTTCTACTATCAGTGATACCTGATAGACATAGCTGTTCGTGAATGTCATCTTGTCTGTCTGTATTCTATAGCTATTTATTTATCTGATATCAGATTTAAAATAAACAATTAAGGGTATCATTCCTCCATCAGTAAATAAAAACACCCATAAAAGAAGGGAATTTAGTAGTGCAGCCATATGGCCATATGTACCTATTGCACCAATTTAATGCATATTTTTTTAACTGAAATGCTCTCTCAAACCTGCTTACTCAAGCAAAAAAAAAAAAACCAAAAAAAAACCAAAAAAAAACCCAAAGGAATGTCAGTAAGAGTGCCATTTCTCTGTTGGAGTCATGGCCCCAGAATCACACCTTAGCCTGAGCGCTAAGCTACCAATTTTAATCAATGCATTAAAATGTGTCAATTTAATGGATCAGATTTATTAATCTCTTAAGGAAAAATGAACCTTGAAAACTGAGATACTGTCTCAGAACTAGTGCAAACATACTCTGCTTCTACTGAGCAATATGGTTTTAAGGCATCACTATTTAATGAACACCTAAATTAGAAAGAAAAGATATAAAATGGAACAAAAATTAGTGATTTTGAGCAAAAGGATTCTACCCAGAACAAACTAATGCAATTTAGAGGTTTACCTGTCATTTCTAGAACACCAGTGCTATTAGCTTTTCCTCGGTTATTTTCTGCAAAACAAGTGTAGCGACCTTCATCCAGCTTTGTGATATTGATAATTTCCAGGCTCCCATCATCCCAGATACGTATGCTATTGAAAGTGCAAAAATACATCAAGAGAAATTAGGTTTTATATCAGAAAGCAATGCTTTCAGTAGAATAGTAGTAAGTGAAAGAACAAACCACAGATGTCTATTGGAAGCTCACATCTAAATACTGCAGTTATAAACACTCTTATAGTAAAATATATTTGATTAGGCTGTAGCATGATTAGATGCCTCATACTGCTGGAGCAAGAGAATGTTCTTTCCCTCACTTGTAATCATTCTAATAGTTTTCTTACAGTTTTGTGATAATGTACAATTCTGAAATGAGAACAGCACCAAACAGCTGGATACCCCGCTAGCTATTTGCATCCACACTGGCAGTAACATTCTGACAGATTGTCCTGAAATTACACAGTCTCCTATTCCTGAAGTCTGCAAAAGTGAGAACTAGCCTACAGGATAAATAGAAACATAAGGCAACATTTTTAAGACTCACAGTGTCCACTAACAGTCAATACTAACCGACTCCCATTTACAAGCAATTCTGTTCCTTTGCTCCAGGAGAATTTTGGCTTTGGAGCAGCTTTGGGCTTGCATTCAATGATTACACGACCCCCTTTAGCTGCTAGGATTTTCTTCTTCATAGGGTTCAATTCAAAAGTAGGAGGTGAAGCTGAAAGCCAAAATTAACACAAGTATTGCTGTTAGTTATTTTTCTGCAAAATACAATTTGTTTGCAACATGAAGTAAATGTCAAAACTATTGAATTGTATGCAAATGTCCATTATTCGAATCAGTAAAAAAAAAAAGTAATGATAAAAGATGTCCTGAGAAATAGATGGTGATCTAAAATAGGAAAAATCATTTGTAGTTATATGTTGTGTTACGCTAGAGGTTTCTTTCTGTTGACTTCTGGACTTCCATGTAAGTTTAACCTAACAACATCAAAGTCCACCAAAATCAGTAGAAAGTTCCTCCTTTTCAAATGCCTTTTGATCAGTCCTAATAAAATTTAGATTCTGTGAGACCAATTTCTGCATAAAGTGGCTCATTCAATCTTATTTTCAAAGAATAGTTTGTTCTACTTTTCAGTGATTTTAACCTCCCTCTAGCAACATTAAGGTTGTACCCTTCCTCCTCTTTGTAGTTTTCTGTTTGACTGACTGGCCTTAGGTGCAGTCTCAGATATACACGAGTAATGAGACATGAGTGTAACAAGCACTACTCTTACTTTTCTGAGGTTAGATCTTTGCTTACTAATTTTCTCTTGTAACCAAATAAAAGACAAAATGCTTTTCATTATTTTGCATCTCAGTGAATGTACACAGCTTAAAGAAAGAGGGCTATCAGTTTATTACAGCAGTACAGAGAAAAACTGATAAACATCCACATCTTAAGAAAACTGAATTTTGCAAATGAGCATCAAGTGCTCATTTCTGGGTAATTAAGGCTGGTAGTGAGTACCTAGTAATGGAAGAACAGCAATGGACAAAGCATTGTGCAATGGGTTGGGGAAGTCAAGGATAGTTTAGCTCTTGGGAAGGTCTGAAGGCAAGTGTGAGATGAAAAGAACCCAAGGGTAATTTCTGCAAGGAAATCTCCTAGGTAAGCCATATCATATAGCCATTATGCCTGCTCTAATGACATCAGTAAAAATGTCAGAAATTGTTTTACACCTGAGCACTCTGAATCTGAAAGTCAAACCTTCAATACAATGCTCCTTAGGAAAACAATGGATTAATGACTACCTCCAGCAATCAAATGGAACAGCTATATTGCACACAACCATTGCAGCTGATCAGAGCAGATTGTAGAAGGCAAAAGCAAAGGGGAGAGTGAAGAGGAAGATCTTTAAAGGCTTGGTGACCGACAGCATGGTTTTTAAAAACACGTATTTTACCCAGAGAAGTGAGCATAGATAAGCAAAAAAGAAAATACTCCTCAACAAGTTTTGCAAGATTGAAAAGATAGTAACTCTACGTGCTTCATGTAAGTTCTGCACTATCAGTTCCTCTGAGAGCTAACAGCAGCAAGCAAACATCAGAAAAAATATAATGAACATTTCCTGAAAATCAGGAACTTGATACCTCAATTTGTTGTCAAAACCCAGCTAGAGAGCTCAAATAAATCCCCTAGACTGAGTGAGGCTTTTTAGCTTTATCCTCACAGGAATCTGTTACCAAACTATGCCTGCAAATATGACTGCTATCTTACTCAAACCTGAAATAGTAAATAGAGCAAATAATCCCACTGACCCACAATCTTCAGTTCAGCGTTTGCATAAATAATTCCATGCGTGTTTTCTGCTATACATTGGTACATGCCGGCATCATCAAAGGTCAGACTTTGTATTCTTAGTTCACCTTTCCGGAACTAAAACACAGAATCAATAAAACAACAAGATATTCATATAGACGATGTATGCTGATGAATTTATACCCATTCCATATTTCTTCTATTCTATTTTTTAGGAAAATAACATTAAAACACCAGTGAGATTTTATTTTACCCATGTTACATTTCAGTCTTTGTGACAATCTGTTCAGCTTCTTGTTTTAAAGAAAGACTCAGTGTCAATCGATATTTTTCTGGGTAAGTCCTAGCTGAGTGGCACTTGACACACCTACTCTTCAGTCCCGTTACCATACCAATGCAAACACTGCTGATTCAGAAATAAGAAACAAGAAATGAAATTAATTTTATGCACATAAGCTTTGTTTCGCCATGCTCAGTGTTCAGTACCTTCTATTGTATGTGCATTGGTTTACAACAGCAAAAGGTCAAAGCAAGTCCCAGGGAGATAGGAGTTTTTCAGACGATTCCTCTGAGAAGTAGCATGAACTATTTTCTATTACTTTGTTTTAATATAAAAAGAAAACATAGTAAATCAAAATAAAGTACTTAATCTATTTCTAAAAAAATATGTATAAAATACACAGTATGGTGGGTTATTTTGTAAATTGCAAGTAGATGTCTATCTGTTTTTGAAAGATCATGTTAATAAATTCTGTTTTCTTCTGAAAACCAAGCTGAAAAACTTTAAACCTTGTATATTAGTAAATTGGAGTGCATGGAGCAGTGGAAGATTGAAAGAATGCTATTTATCTGACAAGGAATAGATTAAACATAACATATTTCCTGCACTGTTTTATTTTAAAACATTGAAATCAGATTTTCTGCAAGAAATCTTTGTTTTGTGTTAAGTGAAATACCTAATTAAAAATTATCCAGTTTAGAAATGAGCTATATTTTCAAGGCAATTTAAATATTTTTTCTATTTTCCATTTGGAAATCATCTTATAATATTAACACGCAGCATAATCTTCTGGTGTACTACTGCACAATTACACACCACTTTCTGCAGTCCAGCATGGAGATTTTGTCAGTGAAAGCCAAGCTGAGTGGGGACCACCAAGCAATTCACTTGTTAAATTACTTGTTTGTAATAACCACTGAAGCTAGAAAGCAGCATTGTTTTTCCTGGTTTAAGCCATCTCCATATGGCAGATGGTGATACCCCTGTTCTCCCTCCAAGCTCTCACATTTTTCTTAAGATATAAAGCCAAAACAATGCTGCTTCATTGTCTTTTTTTGTTTGCTTGCCAAGATCAGTGTCACCACAGCTCAACAGATGCAGCATTACATTGTGCTCTCTTCTATCCTCTTTGTTCTTTTGGCTCATCATAGAGTGTAAGCAATAGATATTAAATACATTGTTGAAACGCCTGGACAGAAAATCTACTTTGTTTAAACAAAATATCCAATGTAATAAACTTAAATTACCAAACTGTACTCATTTAAACTTCACATCACCTAATACAATGGAATTTTGCCATATTCTGTGACTAGAAAAAACGTGAAAAAGCACATGATACAGGAACACTGGTAATTTAGAATTACTCTTTCTTCTCATGTCTCCACTGACTCTATTTTGTCTTCCAGTTTTAAAGACACACTCATGTTTGATGTGGTAAAAAGGATTATTTTTGGAGATAAGCTGATAGACATTTTTTATCCAGAGAGAAGAAAATAGCATTTAGTTAAACAGGACTGGAGAAAAAGGGATATCCAGCTCCCGACATGTGGTCAAAAGACAAGTTCATAATTCAGACTGAATATCAAATAACCTAAAGAAATGCTGAACTCTTCATTTCTTCAGAAAACTGAAGAGAAGACTGAGATGGAAATTTAAAAAAATAGATTTTAATGACTAATGCAAGTGGAACGGCAAATATTTGTATCATTATAATTAATTTTCTTTTAACCTTTTAATAATGCACGCTTTAAAAAATCCTTTGCATCAGCTAATCAATCAATCCTGTATTATCTATGGCAATATACTTACCGAGACACCATTCTTCAACCACCTAATTGTTGGAATAGGCTTGCCTGTAGCTACACAAGGCCAGTATAGGTCACTGCCTATATCCTTCTCTGTGTCATTGATATGCTCTACCCACTCGGGAGAAGCTGAAAGATAAAAACCATGATGCATTGTAAATATAGCAGATACATATTTAATTAGCATTATGTTGTATTAATTCCACTGCTTTTTCATGAGTGTCCAAAGTTATGTTACCACTTACATTGTCCTGTAGATTATACAATGTGGAAATTACTCAGTAACACCATAAAAATGATAGTTAAATGACAGGAAATAGTGCAAAACCATGTAAGTACCGAAAGGGTCTACAAGAAAATATTCTCTTGGTCCAGAGAAGCTAATTAAGAATTTCATATTGAAAATGCCCCAGCATTTTTGCTTTTGCTAAGCAAATTAACCTATTTATTAGCTTTACCTATTACAAGCATTAATAACCTTCCCACATAAATTCTGAATTCATCCCAGTGAAGTTCAAGCACTTAACTGAGGATCTTAAGTCAGCAGATGTTCTGTACAGTCAATGAGAAGAGACAGAAATCTTCTGAAGGTAATTCAGATGTTATGTACAACCTTTTCATGCCACAGTTTTGTGGCACAAGTCTCAGTCAAGGAGTGATGGTTCTTAAGATGGGAATGGTTGGTATGATTCCACTGTGAGTGGTAAGATGTAATCTTTTGGTTGCCTCACTTAACCAAATGCATGAATGGAAGGGACAGAGGGTGGAGGAATAAATAATCAAGTGTAGCTAATAAGAGAGAGAACTAAGACAGAAAAGACCAACAAAATGAGGAAGCAAAGTGTAACAAACCTAATAATCTCTTTTTCTTCCTGGAAGTTCTTTCACTTCAAGTACTCTAAATTGATTTAATTTCCATAATATTAATGCTAACGCACATTACTGTCAAGGTGTATACACAGCTATCATAACCAGACAAATTAAGTAGTTGTTCAATTAATACTCAAATGTTATGCTTAGCATTCAATGGATGAGTTTTGATTTTGCTCTATTAACTTGAACAGAAGTGTGTCAAAATGATGCTATGAGTCAGCACTGAGATTCAGTGTGAAAACTAAGATATCTGCAACATAAGTGAAAGCAACATAGACTGCGAAGAATAAAATTGTTTTACTCACCTTGTACATAGACTCTTGCTTGATGTTTATCTTTTCCTTTATAGTTTTCAGCTTCACATTCATAAAGTCCTTCATCTTCATACTGAATATTAAAGATCTTAAGAACTGCACCAGACATGCTTATCTCAGCAGTGGCTGGCATGGGTTCAAGGTATTTACTCCATCGGAGTTCAGGAACCGGACTTGAAAAGGTACAGTAAAGTACAAATCAGCATGTTCAAGAACTGGCTGTTAAATTGCAGACTACAAAATAGTGTTTGATGATGAAACATGTCTTTTCATACCCTGAAATATGAAAGTGAATAGTGCTCTACAATAACTTTAAAACACACTTACTTCCCAAGAGCAAAACACTCCAGCGTCACGTTTTGCCCCAGGAGAGCATACGTGTCCTTGAACTTAACTTTGATATCAGCAGGATATACTTTTGCACCTAATATGAAAAAAGATATTTTCAGAAAAGGCACATCAGAAAGGAATACAGTTATTAAAATCTCCACAGCTCAAACCGTTCTTGAAATGCCAGCCAAAATTCTTTACATGGAGCTTGACTGGTCATGAGGTCTGATCTAGCATGGAACTTCTAATAGTAACACAGAATTGTTTTACTGAGCAACTAGTTATCTTTCGTTGGATGGTAATGCCTAATATTTTTTACAGTACAAAGCTTTAACGTTTACTTGCATTTGAAGTGTGATGATGTACTGTCCATGTGGGTAGGCAAAAGCCTGAGCCTCTCTTTTCCACAGATTCTTTTACTGAATGGAATATTTTGAATTATTGTGAGTTTGACATTTTTATCATAGTAAGGGTATGAAGGAATTGGAGCCAGTAAATCTACAGCTTAATGAGGGTACAGGGATGCAAATGTAACCAAATCTACCTACTGGTGATCCCTGTAGGACTCCTCTTGCAGTTCTTCTAGATGAAGATCTCAGTATGAGTATTGGCCATGGAAAATTTGGACAAAGATCACTGATTTGTAATTACTCAAATTCAATTACAGTTCTTCACAGTAATACGGAAATTTTAACAGATAAAAGGGTCACTGAAATCCTGATGAGTAGCTTATGAGATTCTAGTGACTGTCAGCTGGAAGTGGCAAAAGGGAACCTGGTTACCATTTGGAAAACATGCAGTTTTCATGAAGAAATGGCAGAGACTTATCTAGTAACACAAAGCCACATAGGTATCTTAGGGGATTGGCCATGAGACACAAAGCCCTTAGGCCACCATTGGATAGTAAATTTCAGCAGGGGAAAAGGATTTTCCGTTTTCATGGGGTATTTACTGGGAAAAAATTAATTCCTGAAGCTGTTCATCAACTTTTACATGAAGTTTCTGTTTTACTGTCATACCACTTTGAAACAACGATAAGGTCAGAAAAGCTATTAAGGGTTTTGGGATGAGTACAGGGGCTTATCACACAAAAGAGAAGTGGACTCGGGGGATGAGAACTCTTCCCAATGGTATGAAAGGAAATTTGTGAATGAATTCAGAGAGACTTCCTTCACAGAGATTTCACTGTGGATGGGAATATTTTGGACCTCTGTACTTAGAAAACTAAATAACATTGTTCAGTCGCCATTATAGCTTGCCACGTAATTCACCTCACAGAGCTGAAAGAACTTAAGAATGGGCAAAATTAAACCACAAATATTTTGAAGACTCTTT